CAAGACTTGATTTGTCAAAAACCAAGTTGGGGAAATTAATTTTGGGGGCCTAATAATCTCTGCTTAGATCTATGTGAACCCCCTTTGCATTAACAATGTGTGACAAATTTGCATACTTAGAGGATCATGCACATTGTTTCTCACCATTTGATAAAGAGTTTTATTATTATTATTATTATTATTATTTCATAAACTCCATCGGACCTTTCTTTTAATTTATGAAGCTTTATGTAAAAACTAATAAATAAATAAATAAATAAAAAAGTAAAGTTTTTTCATTTTTACCAATGATTATATTAATTTTTATTTTTTTTTAACTAAAGTAAAAAAGTCATTATTAAACTCTCATTCAATTAATACGAAATACATAACATTTGATATTATTTCAATTAATACATAACATTTGATATTATTTATATAAAATGATTGTGATCATCGTTTGGAAAGAGAAAGTTCCTAACCATGAATCCAAATATCTCCCTTGACGACATTGACCGGAGGGGCCAAGGCCAACCGATCATATTGTTTGGCCTCATTTGTTCAACATCCAGAAATAAACAAAATTCGAATAAAATAATAATGCATATGGTCCATGATTTTGAACTTTTTAATTCCTCATTGATTTCTTGGTATATGATTAGCAGTTGGGTCTAATGGATATTCGTTCAAACTGCCATTAGTATTAGGTGAGGTCACATGGATAAGCTGCAGTATGGAGAAAAAGCAATTAATGTCATTAGTTCCATATAAATACATAGATTATATATACATATAATAATAATAATAATAATAATAATAGAAGTTGAATAATTATGTAGTGTGATGAATAACCAAAGGGTTACCTCCGGTTGGTGGATGTGGTGTTGTCATTATTGGGGCACATGTCAGGAATACATTTACTGCTATAATCCCCACCAACCAAAATGTGACTATTTTGTATATATTATCATGATTCTAAGCATTGAGCCACATTGGTAACAAGCTTCATGTCAAGAATGGGTGGAGGCAGGAAACATCCCTAAAAATTATATTTACTTGTATATTATAATTTTTATGTACAAAAAATATTTTTAAAATTTTGAATTAGTATAAATAAGTCCCTTTAAAAAATTTAAATTTTAAATTAACTAAATTACTTTTATTGAATCATTTTATAAAATATATAAAAATAAATAATTTTTTAAAAGACCTAAAAGGAAACTATTGGAGAATACCCCTCACATGTAAAAAATATCCCTAAAGTTTTAATTTGGTGCAAATAAGTTCTTTGACAAATTTAAACCCTAAGGTAATTAAATAGCACTTAATGAACCATCTTATACAATATTATGAGTATTTTTTCACACTTTTTTAAATAAAAAATAAAAGTATTACGACGGAGTATACTTTATGATTATTTTCTAGGCTTGTCCCGGTTAAGAATAGATGTATCTTTGCAATTTTACTAATTTAAAATAAATAAATAAAAAGCCACACAATCAAGGGTAAGTCATGTCATAGGGTATAGAAGTTGGCAAGTTATTATGAGACAACTCTACCCTTCAAAAAAAAAAACCTCTAGAAAAAGGGAAAGTAAGAAACCAAATGAATTTCACCACAAATGATTACAGGGCCTAATTTTTCATATGAAATCAAGAACCGTTGAGTTATTCTCAGACAAAAAAATCATCAAAAAGGAAAAGTAACAATGCAAACTGGCAACGTGTTTCTCTGCAAATGATTATAGAATGTCAAAAGTACAGCTACTTTTTTTTTTTTTTTTTTTATCCTTTTTGTATATATAATAAATAAATAAATAAAATGAAGAATCAATCTATTCTTAAGATGATATTAGAATAGTTGACATATAAATCACCCTCAAGTAATTTGCAACTCCGAATATGTTCAAATATGGTTACTTTATTTAGGCAAATCTTAGTAATGTTATATGCTTAGTTTAAACCCGTAGCGTGATGAAATTGGACGCTATCTACATTCTCCATTTCTATTTACCTAGTTCGACCCCACCAAATTACTTGAGCTAATCTCCTCGAGGACCAAATAATTATGATACATCAAAGTCTATTATGTTTGGACATGGTACCTACTCAACCATGATGGCTTCTTCAACTAGATGATCTATGTTACTGTCAACTTAATTGTCAAACCTAATAATGTAACACAAATTGATACATTGTCAAAAATTCACATCACTGCCTAATGTATCGAATTGACAGTACGGGCTTTCAGCGTCCTAAATGTCAACGTGTACGATTTGAAATCACGCGGACCAAATAAATGTACCATTTGCATCCACTGTTTTTGGTCACGGATTGGCAATCCATAGAGATTTCTGAAAATGATAGCATCTTCATTAAAATCAATGACACGTTCAATCGACATGGTGGTAGGAGGAACGCGTGGAGGATTGGGAGAACACGAGACACGGTTCAGAACTCCCCAGAAGAGCCACCAGCACTTTAATGGGATTTTGAAGTGCAGCCATAATCAGGCAATGTGGCAGCTTAAGGAACATACGTACACAGAGAAGATCACTAGCATTGATTGATGATTTTTTTTTTTTTTTTTTTTTTTGCGGGGTAAATATCTGTAGCATTGATTGTTGTCTTCAACTAATCAATGCAGTAGAGGAAGGGTATGATCAATGTGTGTGTAAAAACAAGGTCTAGCAGGAGAGAATTGAGTCACATTTTTATCAACATACCTAATTAATTGTTCTCAAATCAATTTTCTGTAGCATCATAAACCCTCTTTGTTTCCTGGAATTCAACCATGAAGACAGCCTTTTAGTCCTCAGTAACTATTTTCTGAGAAAAGTTTGGTTTTTCTACTCCACATTTTCTTGAAATTTAATTATTTATTAAAAAAATAATAATAACATTTTTATAACTGAATTTTCAAAAAATTATACCAAATATAATTTTTTATTTTTAGAGTTACAAAGCAAGTCTGAAATATTAAGTGCAGTGGCGGACACAGAGGGGAGGGCTTGAGCTCCCCCAAAAAAAAATAATTTTTTTTAGTATAATATGTTCAGCCCAATTTTTTTTTTTTTTTAAATTTTAATAGTAGTGTTAGTCCCCCCTTTTAACCCATTCAAAAAAAAAAATTACTTATGAAATTGTGTAATTAAATTTATGTTCAATACTAGCTCCCATTGATAATTCCTGAATTCGTCCTTGATTAAGTGAAATTAAAGTAGAGTAAGATGCTTCAATAATTCAAATGAAGAAATGGCACTTTCATGACATTTGAGGCTTCAGTACTAACAAAAGTTTTCTAAAGGATGAATAATTTTTTACAATAACATTACCAACCACTCCAGATTTCTTCACTAATTGACGAGTGATTACAGCTAATTTCAGTACCCACTACAACTTTGTTTTTAATTTTACATCTCTTATTTTTCGTTGAAGTAGGTGACATTAAGTTCAACTTCTCCCACCAAGAAAATACTTCTATATCAAACCTCACAACAAAGTCATCAACATCTCATAAACAAATGAACAAATCACAATAAACAAGAATCACGTAATAATTAAATCTCAGATAAAAAAATATAGCCGTATACATTTTGAGTCAAGTACCACACATTACAAAAATGTGATGATCAAGTATTTTTCTTTTTTTGGTAAATAATGTCATGATCAAATCTCCACTCTCTATATGATCATAACTTTCCCCCCACTGGTGTAGCTATATTATGTTTATGAAAGTTAAAGGTAGAGATTAGGGTTTTTCAATAATACTACTTTGAATAAAAAGCCATGATTCCTTTGACAGAGACAAAGATCAAATGCCACTCCACTTTACATGGTTGAATTCCAGGAAACATGATAATCTATATATAATCCATAACAAGGGTGAAAGTCCCATTAAAACTATTTTATATATATATATATATAGTTACTTAGTGAAGGTGATCATGATTAAGCATGCACTAATTCCAGAATAATCAATCTAAAGATGCAATTGGTCTACCAAAAACATCACTAATAGGGCAAAAAAAGGCAAAATATACCACATCACAAAGCCAACAATTAATTTAGCCAAATACTATAAAGTTCAACTTTGAAAAAAAGTTCAGATGAGGTACTTAATCAAGTTGTTTTGTCATAGTTGCATCAAACATAACAAGTAAAAGAATTGAAATGGAACGAAATCAAGATTTGAGTAGATGATGCAATGCACCAACTGTTGATGATATATTATTTAATGGCTGTATATATTTTTATATTGCTGTATTATTATCTAAAATAGCCGCCCAATAACGACTACTATGATGGTCACTCACCATCAAATATGTTAATTATTGCTTCCACTCACATTGTTCCCACTATGGATTGAAAATCTATGCATGTTTCTGCAAAGAAAAGAAGGAATTTATGTGTGTATAAAAGTCAACATACCCAGTGATTTGGATATCATATGTGCTTTAATTTTCATGAGATCATGGGAATCTAATTTTGTTTTTTTCTTTCTTCTTTTTATTTTTTTTTAAACATTTATTTAGAAAATATGACTTGATTTTATTGCTTTACTTGAGAAGGGAGACGAATTTCACATGTCACAGCCATTAGTGAACTCACCATAGCATTTTCGATTAAAAAAACAATATCTTTTAAGCATAAAAATAAAAATTATATCACCTTCCCAAACCATGCTACACTTTTTTCTTATTCTTTTTATTTTTTATTACTATTAATAAATGGAATTAAACCTGTTTTTTCATTCGTTCCCAAAATCAGATCAATGTCAAGCTCCTAAAACACAACTGCATAATTTTCAACACACGCTACTGCTTTTTTGGGTAAGGTATTTTAGTTGCCGAGGCTGAGAATTCCCCCTCTTTCAGACATTGTTCTATAATTAGTTACAAATACAGCTGATAAATCTGTGTTTCACAATTGTTGAAGGGCTTGTGTTTGACCTATCAAAAAATCATAAAATATTGTTCATCATACATAACAACAATAAACAAAATCTAGTTCTTTTTGAAATGGAACAACAAAAAAATCAAATTAATGAAAGAAAAAAAAAATGCAATTTACATGACATGAATAAAGAAGCATGATTCCCAGATGGTTTTCCGTTCACAGGCATTCATCAAATACAAAGCAGCAGAACCGAAGCCACTGTAAGAAATCTGAACTCCCATAACACTAATTTTCTTAAAAATCGTAAGGTCACATAATAGTCATCGACTTACAGACAAATGTAGATAAACATGAACCTTTCCATGCCGTCAAAACATTAGACAAGAAGCATTCAAACCACCACAATCAGTAATACAGCAAAAGCTTTTCCCCCACTCCCCTGGAAACTTTCCATCCTAGACTAAGCAACTCGAAAGCCCAGGCACTAGCTAGTCCCTGTTCTTGGATTTTACAATAGACCTCGGAGCTGTAGATCAAACCAGAAAAGTAGTGTGAGCTTATTCTTTACTCATGATAGAATATGTAACAAATTGTAATGCAAAACACAGCAAAACATTCTGCACAGCATTAATCTTGAAACTGGTTGTAAATAATGCACATAGAAAGCGGTATTTACTGCTGCACACATTTTTCTTTCAACTCATTGTAATTAGCCCACCCAACATAAATACAAACTTTCTTGAACACATTACCCACCGCTCATCGTATATTGAGGGAGCTATAAAGATGGGGAGACTGGCTACAGTCTAATCCTTAGCATTATTTGGAAAAATGACTACCCTAGATTTGTAACTGTGTTCTCAAGCCTGGCAGTCAAACTTTAACCACTGCACCAGGCAATGGCCTCTCTAACCTAATACCAATTTGCAGGTCGAAAATTCCAAGTAACATTATATACTAGCAGTTCCAAGGTGAAATCTCTTGTAACTGAGACTGAGACATTACAACATCAGTCATTAAACAAGAAACATAACATCAAATTTTTAGCATGAAGGTCCTCGAATCAAACAGGTCACCAAGAATTGTTAGTGAACAGAAACACAGAAACCTATTATGTAAAGCTACCTAATCCTTTTTAGCTCATTCCAAAATCATATCAAATCTAGCATAAAATATGGTCGACAGAGATGCTCCAAAATCAATAGATCATAAGTATATAAATCTCTTAGAGGGAGCCAATTCATGTTGGCCATTAACGATTGACTAAGAAGCCAAGACTAACGAGATGTACGGTAAATATTAACATAAGAACAAAAAATTGAGAATTTCAATTGCAAAGAGTTTATCTGATTGGCTTATTGATTTTTGAAGACACTTCCTTTCTCCTGCCATACCTTACAATGACTAGACTGAGATTGACAGGTAAATAATTATTTTGAAATCCGTACAAAGTGACAATGAAATCAGGGTGCAATCTAAATGGGTATTTCCAGAACATCAACTGTGTATTTAAGATAGAAAGAGGTGAAAAGTTTTTCGTTATCCCCATTGCCAACATTCTCCACCAAAAATGCATGCTCATAGACTATAGCATGTAATCTTTTTTGTTCCAATCGCTAGAAAAAGTCTTTCCGGTGGTGAAATAAAACAGTAAATTGATAATACACACCTAATCCAATTGCATCAGAGCTCTTCATGATCTTCAGCCTCTTGCATGAACCGATGAACATTCTGCAACATAATCAAACTAAAGTTTAGAATAAAGACATACAAGGCAATCAGAGAAAGAAAAAGAAAAAAAAAAAAAAAAAATCATCAAATATACATATCAGATTTTAAAGACATAAATAGGGTTCGGCGTTTGATTAGAAGTGCAGTCCATTTAAGGAAAATTGACAGCAAAAGCAATGCAATTCATCATCAGGCAAGACAAGTACACACACTTATTATAAAGTATCGCAGCATTAAGTGCCGGCAAAACATCAATGGCTTCACAGTGATTACCTTACAGGCAATGTAAAAGTCAATATCCAATGATAAATATTCAGAGACTGTTGACTCAAGAAAAAAGACCAAAATATCTAGTCATTCAACAAAGGAAAAAATCCCTCAGCTAAACAAATATTTTTCCGCCATTTGGCTATTTAGGGCATACAATTATAGATGACTCTGCAGTTCAAAAACTTCAGCTAGAAAATGGGAATTTGAGTAAGAAATTTAGATAACTATACCAATTACAAACTAAATTGCAAAGAAAAGTAATTATGAGCACAACTTCCAAAAATTGTTTGATATGGCAAATCGACAATATCATTGACCAGGTTTTTCCATTATTCCATACATATATTGTAGATGTAAAATCAGGCCTAAAATATAAACAATGCAAAAGACTTCACCATATATTATGATTCTGTTCAAGTTGAAAGAGCTTAATAGGAACAGTAAGGCAAAACATGTGAAATGAAACACAGAAATCACATGTCCTATGATTTAATTGATAATCTAGCCCCAAACTGAAGGGAAAAAAAGAATCTCAACCACTGAACCAGAACAGAAAAAGTTTATAAACAATCTGTAATTTAACTAACAATATAAGACCAATATTTTCTGATCTTTCCTTAGTGTATAATGGAACACTTTCTTTTGATCTTCAGTTCATGTGTAATGCATCCCAAGATTGAAACTGTTAAGCTGACAAAACCGGTTGATCAAGTAAAGCAGCAAATGTACTAATCTACCAAACAGGTTACATAGGGAGAAAAGGATAATCTTTCATATGAAATGATCAAACAGACAGATGTCTTTCACTATATAAGAAATTACAGGAATGTACTTGGAATACATCACATCATGGCTATATTGGCGTGTTGTAAACAAAGATTATTTCATTTTTCCCCCCTTTGTTTCATATTTGGGGTTGGGGTGGTGTGAAAATTAATTACTGAACTTGGCAATATGTGATCATCTATGTTACAACAAGACATGGCATGATGGATATGAGATGTGTCCGAATACACGTGAGGCATCCAGCCAACAGGACACATTCTAGAATGTCATGTGATCCTCTATCCAATTAATGAAGTCCTGATTGTGAGTAAGGCATGATGTGTAATGCATGAATTTATATCAAGGTATAAATGGAAATATATATATGTATGTACAAATATCTAATATAGGACATTTCACAATTTAGCTTTGTCCTGATGAAATGAATCAAATTCCCGACCACATAAATGTAACCAAAACCAGTTTGTTTATTTTTTCCAAATATAGAATTGTTTTCTTAGTTATGTGAACTTGTCCAACATGCATAGTTGCTTAATGGTAAGGAACAAAATAGGTATATAATATGTTAATCTTTGATTAACATTATCTCTTTTATATCCAGATTTTATACTTATATCAACGGAAATTTAACAAATAAGATAAATATACAGTTACTAATATTAGAAAATCATCTATCTATTGTCAAGAGAAATGTATCTAAAGTTCCCTTGTATTAGTAGTGTGCTAGCAGTTAAAATATGCATATACATGTATTTATTCAAAAAGAGTGAAAAAAAAAAATATATATATATATATATATAGTGTCCAAAATCCACATGTTGCTTTGCATGACATCCATAATAGGAAGGAATGTAACAATGTTTCGATCCTTATTGCTGTCAATAGAAACATATATTGAAGTTATATAATATTGAATTAATATTCCTGAGGATAAAGATGTTGATTCAAATAAAACATCCTAGTGCATATTGAAAGAGCTTCAATGCATGTCTCCATGGTACATTTAGTATAATCTTTTGGATAGTAAAGTTGTATAGAACTTTAGTAAATAATCTCCCTATTGTCAAGAGAAATGCATCTAAAGTCCCCTTTGTTGCATTATAAATGCAATACATAAATGATACTTTTTATGATATGATATGATATGATAATTCCATACTTGACCTATATCCAACTTTTAGAATTATGAAGAAGGAATGCAGGGGTGAAACAGATGGAAGCTTACTCCCATGGGACATCTCCCACAAGCATCCAGTCACCATCCTTGTCTTCGTATGTAAGCACATACTCTGATCCATGCAGAAGATCCCTCAACTTGCTTTCACTCAGTGTTTCCCTCCCTGGACCTCCTCGGGATCCAAATTGACCTGAAATCATAATGCAGCAGTAGTAACTGGATCCAAACCAACATAAGGTGTTCGTGTTAAAACTTAACACATTGTGATAGAAGTAAAACAATTTCACACAATCAAACAAATAACTACGTATCACCAAAAAAATCGATATTACAAAAGTATCTCACCTATGGTAAAACAGCTGAACATCTTCTCAAGAGAGGAAGAAAGTTCTTGATATTTAGAATACATTCTTAGATCTACCTTCCTCAGATAAGGAGCACCATCCATGCTGACCTTGACAAAAAGAGCACCAAGGCCCGGTTTTCCATCAACTGCATCATTATTCTTTGAAGTGGTAGCCAATGTATTCTTCCTAAATGATCTTATAGGAGGCCAACCAACTACCTGTGCCCTGCAATATAAAGGCAGGTCAATGAATGTAAGCCCAGTTGGATCAACAAAAACTCTTCTTTTCTCCTGCGCCGCCCGCCTCCCCCCCCCCCCCCCCCCCCCCCCCCCCCCTTCTTCCCTTTTTTCCCCCACCCCAAAAGAAAACACACGCGTGCAGTGGAAAGGAAAAAAAAAAAAAAAAAAGGGGGGGTTAGGAGACCCCTTTGCATTTACTTTGCAGCAGGTGCATTGCTATTACTGTGAGAAGCCTTCATTTCATTATGGCCAGTTCTATTTGTAGCATGAGGCTGTTCATGTAATGCCTTTGATGATGTCTCCTTCAATATGGTGGACTGAGCCCCTGATGTCCTGGACTTTAGCATTACATTTATCCCTGCACTACCAGGAAGCTTCCCTTGTCCCACAGTTTGTGCTGTTTCAGAATCAGATCCAGCTGCATGAAACATCCAATTTCCTTCAGTATACACAGACCCTCTCATTCCTGAGAACCCATCCACGGTGTCAGAAAACCCTCTTTTGTTGCCTGAAACAATGGCCTTTTGCAATGATGAGCAGATTCCATCTTTTGCAGGAAGCAAAGGAAACAAAGGTTTCTCATCAAGTTTCCCCGAGCACAGCAGGCTAAAATCTGGATCTCGTTCAGGGGATTGTGATCCAGGAAGACCAAGCCTCAACTCTGTAGCCTTCAGATTTGCATTGTTCTTATTGTCCTCTGACAAGCTAGAGACTGTGGAGCTGTCCACTGAAGAACAATCAGACAATGCCAAATAGTTGTGTTCTTTTAATCCAGAGCAATTCTGGGAGATACAGTCCATGGAGGCTGAAGAAGCCACTATGGACACATTGCCCTGACCTTCCCCCTCAACACTTAACAATGGTGGAGACATCACACTCAGAAACTTCTAGATTTCCTCTTAACCTGTAAATCCATAGTTTCCAACAATCAAATGTGCACACGGGAATGAAAATGCAGATGTATACATGAATGATGGATTGACTTTGACTCTTTGAGAAAGAACAGTTACAAAACAAGAAACCGAAAAAAGAAAATCTAAAGACCCATTATTTGACACGGAAGGAGCAAGAACTTCATTCTAACATCAATCTTCTGCCACTACTAAGTAGGACTAGATATGATGCAACTGAAAATGTTAAGTATAACGGAAAAAACTATAGGTGCAAGCAAGTTTAAAGGAATCAAAAAGTAAATGCATGACCTCAACCCAATGCAGAATTTAAAGCATTTATATATATATTTTTTAAAAAAAAAAACACTACAGAAAACAGTACCCAGTAGGCTTATATAAGGCATAAGTCCAGACTCTAGACATTGTACTGCGATGTTGAGGTCAAAACCAGCTTTAAATGATTCACTATTTCTACAATAATTTCCTTGATTGTATCCTAACCATGGGAACAAAATCAGACAGAAAAAGCTCGAAAGATTCGATTGTTAAGACCAAAACAGGGCTTTAAGTGAACGGTATGAGGTTTGTTTTTTTAACGTCCTACAATGATTTCTTGATTGCATCCTAACCAAGGGAACTAGATCAAACAGAAAAAATATGAAGATTCCATCGAGACATGAAATCAAACCAGGACTATGCATATGTCAAAGCTTATAATTGTCTCCCATCAGGGTTCACAATGAATCCAAGAAAACTCTTCACGAGGAAGGTTGAAGAAGGCTGAAGGTAAATGAGAATAATACATACACTGCAATGAGGGAGCCATTTTGCCAATCTGACAATTATTTAAGTCTAGTAAAAAATCAGAACAAAATTTATGCAAGAAAATTTGAAATATGTTCCTGATAAACAATTCTAGACGGTTCTATATCAAAAAAACTAGTTACCAGAATAAGATTTTAGCAAAAAGTTGGAAAGCCTAGCTAAGCCCTAATTAAACCAACAGAGAGGGCTTCACATGGAATCAAAAGAAGGAACCACATTTAAGACAGATAATAATTGAAGTAACTACGGTCAGAATCAACTAAATATGCACACAAAATGTCCAATCTAAACAACTTAGATATCAACCAAAAATATTTGTAGCCTTTTTCAGTTAGTGGAAATTCCTTTTTTAAGTATGTTTCATCCTTTAACATTGTTTGTTTGACTTAACACACAATCAGAGAGAGAGAGTCGAATCGAGTCAGGCAATTAAGTTTTGCAATTGTATTTGTAAGCTCAGTTAGTTACTACAAAACAGAAAATTGTAAAACTGCAGATTCGGAGATTCCTTCCCATTTTCTTTTCCTAGCTTTCTCGGCAACCAAACAGGGGAAAAAAAGAGTAGAAAAATCAAGCTACATAAATCCGTTACTTCATAAAATTATCAGCTCAGAATCTCAAAAGTGTTCCGCACTGAGAAATATACAATATATTAAAAGAAAACAAAAGGAAACGACTCAGTGAGATACTGAATAACAATAAATAAATAAAACCACAGAAAAACCACTGAAATTAAAATAAAATGAAACCATACTTGCAAAATCAAGATGTCACTGTAAGAACTCCATTTCAACCAAAAGAAAGCTCGTCACAAATCACAAGAATATATAATATTGATATACATTGTAAAACAACCAGAGCTCAGAACACATACCTGAACAAGTTTCGCGTACCAGTCGCAGTGAAGAAAATCGATTCACCCGAAATCAAAACCAGAAAAAATAAAAATAAAAAACGAATAACAGAAAACGAAAATCAGAGAGAGAGAGAGAGAGACTGCGTGTGTTTAAGGTTCCTCCATTAAGCAGAAAGCAACAAAAGTTCAAGCTGTTCACCGATTATCTCTAAGATGAGAGAGAGAATCAAAGTGATCGTTGGGGGCAACAATGAAATTTACAGAAAAAGTGTGTCTATTTTCTGCCCTTTTTTTTTTAAAGTCTGACATTTAGAGCACGACATTTATACCGAGCCGATCGTCAACAACGGCTCAGATTGATTTGTAAAGGGAACCTGAGCCGTTGATAAAAGGCTAAAAGAATTTATTTTTTCTTATTATTATTATTTTTTTAAGGTAAACGATTGCATATGCTTTTTTCTTGTTTTTGTTCGTTCGTTTTTTTTTTGTTTTTTTATTTTTAACGTGTGTGTGTATATATATATTTTTATATATTAAGTGGAAAGTTTCCCGCAAAGCTGATTTATGGTATATGCTTTGAAATGTATTTGCTTTCGTGTTTACTCTAAAATGTGCTGGTTTGGACTCGAATGATGTTATTTGTAACTTTTTAAATGACAAATATATTTTTCTTTACTTGAGAGGATTTAATTTCATCATCTTATTCTTACTAATAAGAATTGAAACAGTATAAATAAAATAATATTTATAAAAATATCCAACAGGTAAGTAGATTAATTATCCCTAAAATTATACTAGTAACTCATTTTGATTTTCTTTCTATATTCTAATGTAATTTTTGAAAGAAAAATTTGTCTGCACAACTGCACCGTTTATATTAAGTTATTTGTGTCATTAACAAATTATAAATTTTGTGATATAAATAAAAATGTTTTAATTTAATAAACTTAATTACTATATGTCAATATTTAATAGATTATTGGTACTGTATTATTAATAGAACCCAATCAATTTTTGAATTGAATCTTAGATTTTAAAATATATATTTTATTAATTATAATTTTAACTAGTGGTATTCAAATTTTGACTATTAATGACATGATGCTTTCGTTCGATTACCAATGAAAGATAGAAAAACAGCATCCAAAGCCATGAACTAAAATTGATCCGACACTTGCACGAGCTGGTGATTACCAAGGAAACAAAATGTGCAGGTTAATCTGCAATTTACGTAAAAGATAGGTACAAGATGAACAATTTGTTTTACCCAGGAAAAGCAAATTCAACGACAACTCATTACTCAGGTGTCATTTCTGTAACTGAATTGACACAAATACCCTACATTCTTTACCCCCGTCAGGCGTGAGGCGGTACACGCCACACCATCCACCGTTTCCATAAAAGTAAGTGGTGTGGGATACAAAGTTATCTATTTATTTTTAAAAAGTAAAATACCACATAAAATTATTTCATTCTTTATTTATTATTTTATTAATTTAATTGTAAGACGCACAGAAAAAGGCACACTCTGTCAAGCCAAAAGTTACCCAAACAAAAAAAATTTAGCCAATTATCCAATGCCCTTTCTGTAGATAACTTTATAGAGAGAAATTGTAAGCCCACAAAAAAGCCCTCTACTATACCAACTCTCTCTCTCTCTCTCTCCACGCTAACACAAAGCCACTCCAAAGTGGGTTGCGCCCCGGATGCTCTATAAGAACAACCTAATCCACTATAAACTTAATTCCCGGGGCAGGATTGGAATTTAGTAGAAATTGAGGGACGAAAATGGAAAACGATTGCTAAGGGACGAGGAGGGGAGTGTCAAGCAAGGCGCAATTCCTTGGAGAGCGGATTAAGAAGGGGGACACAGGAGAACGGGGCAAGAACCAAGTCCAAGATGGGGAGACAAGAAAGCGGCATTTAAAGTTATTGCCTCTCTCTCTCTCTCTACCTTATTTCTCTCTCTAAGAAATAGCTCATACATATATATATATATATATAGTACATATATACACTACAGTATATATATATATACTAACCGGCCATACGTGTGTAAGGAGTTCATATACTCTGTTGTAGCTTTTTGGTCCTGTAACGTGTTGTAGTGCTTTTTAACACACTTATATCTATTTTAAATATGTTTACTCCCCATTTTAACACGCAAAATAATATGTTGAAATAGATGTAACTTTGTTGCATCGAATGTGTTGAGACAAATATAAGAAAGAATGATTTTAGAATGAGTCTATTAAAATTAATCTCAAAAGTTGCAGCTATTCCGATGATAATAATTATCATGTTTTAGAAGGTGACTATTGGTGACTATTGAAGAAGGTACATGACTTTTAATTTTTACCTTTTGAATAGGTTGCAACCATACAGAGGTACATGACTTTTGATTTATACCTTTTGAATAGGTTGCAACTATACAAATGATACGTGATTTCTAGTTTATACTTTTTGAAAGTTTATAAATAGCGATAGGTGCTGCACAATATGATATACACTTTTCTGTTCTCTTTCTTGTGTTGTATCTGGTCATAATAGTTTCAACGAGTGTTTAAGAAATTCCTTTAATATTGCTAACGGCGGGAATTATGATTTTGTTGTATCTTGGAAGTGTTTTGTCATGGAACCAATAGCAAACTCTTTGAAAGTGGGGACAAATATCATCTTAAGGAAGTAACAAATCATTCTTCCTTCTTCAATCTTGTATAATTGTCTCAATGGAATGTTTTGAATCTAAATGCAACTTTTTTTTTCGGTAATTAGAATCTAAATGCAACTTTGTTGAATTGAAATAATTTTAGGGTGAATTGGAATACCATGTCATTAATTTTTTTTTTTTTTTTCCTTAGTATGTCATTAATAAAAATTTAACAAATTAATTTGTAGAGAGTAAGTTTTTATTAAATTGCGAGACCAGTTTCGTCGCATGGTGCCATTTTTATTGGTATGATGTGGGTATCTTCATCTTAACCAATTTTTTTTACCAAGCACTGAATATGTTGATATGACTGTCAGCTTAACATAATTATGTCTATTTTCAACACATTATTTTATATTTTAACAATATTAATATTAAAAATGTGCTAAAATAAAAAACTATATGTATTGAAAATGAATATAAGTGAATTGAAAAATATTACCGGGTACAACATTGATGACAACAGTAGTAGGAGATCTGGGATTGGTGATAATATCATATTCACTCTATCCCAAAATAGATTTCGAGACTTTAAATTTTTTTTAGTTTGGATGAATTTTAAAAAGCGAGAATATTTTGTAAAAAAAAAAACTTACTCTGTCACCTACTAGATTGGGTGTTTTGAAAATTGTAATTCATAATATCTTTTTATAAATATAAGTATATTTTGGGACAATAGAATGTTCAAAAAAAAAAAAAAAATCAAATATTTTGGAATGAAGGGAGCACATGCTTTGTGCAGCAAGCGAGGTTAAAAACACAAAAAATTACTGTGTAACAAGCATCATTAACTGTGACAACACTTTGGCACGCCGGGCCTTGATCCTATCATGCACGGTATACCCATACATGTCACATGCCCATCCTCTCTCACATCATCCCACGTCAAGCACACGTAATCAGTGCCCTAATGCTGCCGTCGGATCAGAAACCAACGGTGTGATGGATGCATGGTGGGGGTATGGCATGATTGGTGTGAATGTGGGGGTATGGGTAAAGTGTCGCAATAGGATAACGAAAGAAACAATAAAATGAAAATAATAGTATTATATTTATCTTCCCGTGGGCTCTTTGCTTTACATCCACAAAAGGCTGCTGGTCTGTGCCACGACAGTGGGACCCAGTGCCAGAAGACCCCGCTTTTGCCGGTGATTTTAATACAAAAATAATTACTGTGAAAACATTGTAATAATGATTTAGATTAGATAAGCCGTCCAACTAGGGCACAATTTCTGTGGGTCTGTAAAACCCAATAGTGTCTTACACGCTATATATATATATATATATCTATGTACTATATGTATATACATGGGTGTAATTGAAGGTCAATGCCAGCTTGGAATGGGTTCCACTAGTCTGTGAGCTCACGTGCGAACAGAGACAAGGAAAATTTCGTAATTCGATGTATTGTGTGACTAGTGTGTTGTACTAAGTCGCGGTTGTAATATTTTCATTGTTACATTTGTAGCTAATCAAAACAATGGGGCCAAAAGAAGCAGTAGTCTTTTTTTGTCTGTGTCAAATTCAATGTAAAAAGCTCAGTTATGGCATGTTAGAGGGTGGAGTGTAGTCAAACTTTAATAAATATTGTTATCAATTTATGACAAATATATGCGTTCCAAATTTCTAATTTGATGCTACGAGAATATTTTGAAAATTTAGAACGCATATATTTGTCATAAATTGACAACCATATTTATTAAAGTTTGAATATATAGACGAGAAATACACAGAGGGATCTATCTAATTTAACTCATGAGGTATCTAATTTTTCATTTATTACAAACGAAACAAGTCTAAAGAAAAATTACAGACCGTCTATATCGTCTAAGCCCCTCTTGAGAAGGTAAAAATAAAGAGTTGTTATTTCAGGTAATATGAACCCTTCATTTCAAAGGAGAGATTGAATATTCGTCATTCAAGCTTTTTGGATTAATACTGCACTTTTATTTGAACTTTCAAAAAATTAAAGAAAAATAAAAAGGTCTCTCCAAAATACATAGTAGATGCATTTGGAGATGCTATGAGGACCAAGAACTCGGTGAAAAAGGCCCAGTTTAAAATGAATGAGAGAAGTAGCCCAATTTGACTGTACCAAAAAATGCAGGCTATCTATCTAAATTGTGCTGATAAGCTTGATTATGACCAATAGTGAAGCTGGTCCACCTAGGTACCAGAGGAACTAAATAAACTTGGTTCGATATAAATCCAGGCCTATTCTTTTATTGGGCCTCCAATAAGATTCAAGCCCAACGATAGCAACCCCAACAAGATACTTTCAAAAATAGGTTTTTAAATAGCAGCTTTTTACTTCAGCAAAAATAGGGCCTTGCTTGGAATGGAACTTCGAAAATAGTTTTCAAGAACACTTTTCAGAGAATGAAAATAAAAAATAGTTTTCAGTTTTTTAAGTCTGAAAATTAGCTTGGTTGAAAAATTCCAAAACAGTTTTCATAAAACAAAAACTCAAAAAATTGTTTGGTTGTTTGAAAATAGTTTTCTTAACTTAAAAAAATAATAATAATAAAATTTTGTTATTGTGTCTCACATTTCAGGGCATCTAATCTTGCACTTGTTTGTACGCTATATATTTTAAATCCT